CATTACATATATATATATATATATATATATATATATATATATATATATATATATATATATGTATATATATATATATAGACATATTGCTATTAGATGCTAAAGATGCTAAACTGCATTTTGTTGGCTCTGTACTCGTACTCTGCACAATGACAATAAAGTTGAATCTAATCTAATCTAATATAAAGATTAAAAAATAAAAGAAGTCAGCAAGCCACCTAATGCAATATTGATACCACTGTCATGGCCAATCTCTCATATACAAATGGATCTAGGGCTGTTTGCCGCTATATAGACCTCAAATGCAGTTTCAGACAGCACTTTCATTAGCGTTTTTCTCTTTCTCCTCCTGAGGCATCTGAACGGTTTGTAGATATGTCTTCCTTTTTGGTCGAGTGCTGTTTCTTCAGGCTCTCAATTACGCCTCTATTTTTTTCTGTTTGGTTCCAGTTTCGTTCAACTGAGCTGAAACGACGATATTACGTTGTGATATAGTGTCCGCTATTAGGACTGGAATGACCACACATTTCTCACCACGTTTCTCTTTCTCCTTCACCCCCTCACCTCTCCATCTTTCCGATGCCTCCTATTTTTCTCTATTCTTTTTTATCTTCCATCCCGCTGCTATGTCCTAGCGCCGTCATTCTATTCATCTATTTTCCTATCAGTGTCCCCCTGCCTCTGTTCATATTGGAGAGGAGACACAAGGCTAAGACAATCCAGCTGGCGTCTCTGAGATCTCAAAGTTGCCAACAACACAGCGTCCAGAGGAACCAGCTGCTGCTAATCAATGCCAAAGTCTGTTAGCATCACAGAAAACTCCTGATTAATGTCCAAACAGAGATGGACTTCAGAAGTTGGTGTTTGTGTTGGACCAAGGGAGAGGGTGTGAGTGTCTGTTGGCGTGTCTGAGTCAGTGATTGCATGCAGCAAGCAAGCATGTAGTGACGTAAACAGAAGCTAACCATGAAGCTGGGTATCTCTTAAATTAAATGGTATGATATTTCAGGACATGGGATTATACACATGTAATGTCTATACTGTATGTATGCAATACGAATTTTCAACACCTAATCCTAAATCTGACACTTAACCTCACTTTAAACTCAGTACCCACAAAGAAAGTTTTTAACCCTGTTAAAGAGAAAAAAGAACAGCATAGCTTTTATAAAAGAAAATTGTTAAAAAGTAGATCATATTGTCAGGGCATTGTTGTTGGAAGTGGAAAATACCTGAATAGTCATACTTCATTACTATACTTATTTTGGCATCTATTTTGGCATATTTGTAGTTTACTAGCATATGATTGATGATTGGATACTTGTACTCTTACCTATTTACATTTCCAAGAAAAAAATACTTCTCACTTATTAGATTATTATTTAGACCTTCAGAGTACTCGTTACAAATCTCAAAGGTCTGTTCTTCTCTCATCTAACCAATGACTGTTATATATCTATATACAGAATGTACCAATATATATCGATCAAATGGGAACAGTTTAGCATCCAATCTAGTTCTATCTAGAATCATGCTAAATTGTAATCTGTGGTGACCTTCTCATACACAATGTAGTTAGCGCTCTAGCTCTTTTTGTGCATCTCAATTTGGACAAATCACCAGATTGCAGTGGTGAATTTGAGGACGAGTGCCCCTGGCCCTATCTCAGTAAAATGTTTCAGTATCCTGGAGTAAGCAAAGACATATATAATGAGGCATCTCCTTTGCCTCCCTGTGAGGCATGAACTCTATTTAATTTGACCAACGCATGTTGAGGTTTTGCTAATTGGTATACATTAACTGGCTGTATTTAACAAAGTTGGTCTGTGTTCTTTGCTAATGCCAAGCTACACTAGCATCACATCACATCACGTTACATTACATTACAGTAGCTGACTTAAATGGCTAGCCAGCAAGTCAAATTCTGCCTAATGGTAAATGTTGCAAAAGTACAGAGATTGAATGATGTTTTCAACCCAAATGGCATAGTTGCTTCAAAAGAAAAACAGTTTTAGGTAATAAAAGTAATAAAAGTTATTTTTCAAACGCTAACTTAATTTTAGCAGTTAAAAATATTGCAGCATTTAAAAGTTGCAATTTTTTCAAAAAACTTTTTCCTCGAGTACATTTTTGGCTGGATACATCCACTTTTAAGTGAGTAAGATTTGAACACATTATCTATTATCTTCCATTTAAATATAATTGCTTGGTACTTTGTCCGCCCCTGAGTATTAGAATTGTAAGGTTTGCCAAAATTTTGTTGTTAATATCAAATATTATTGTTATACATGTGGTATTTACATGCAGCTGAATATATGTGACAATCCCATATTACCACAATATTGCTTAGTATACAACAGGTATAAATATATAACATTGCATTACAGATTTTTTTTATCCTCATGGTACAAAAAGTTAGTCAAAGAATTAATTTTCTGATAGAACTTTAATAATTCTTGAGTTGTTGGAAATAATAATATTGGAATAGGTTACATATCACCTACAGAGTCTAGAAAGTCCAGTTCAGGCTTACAAATAGAATAATTCTTGCAGTGTTTTTACTCTCCCTAGAAGCTGGAGTCCTACAAAGCTAAATGAAAGTGAACACCATAGTATCCTGAAAACAACCTGAACAGTAAACTGTGAGATGACAGCTTACATGCTGGTATCTTTTTTTTTTTTGCACTGACTAGCAGCTGTGTTTATGAGTATATCATAAAAATACTGAACAAGAGTTACCATGGTAACTGCTCTCCAAAAAATATATAAATAAATAAAGATCTCCACACCATTCACGTTTGTTAAAGACCAGTGGGATATTCAGGAGCACTACTGGAAACATGTCCTGTTGAAAGATTAGACTAAAGTTAAATGTACTCACTTGATTAGAGAAAATCAAACATAGCAGACGGACACTGAACCCTCAGCTCTACTGTGAAGCCTGGCGGAGGGAGTACGATGGTGTCTGGTGTCTCTGATTTATCAAGGCCAGAAAAATATCATAGAGAGGCAAATATGTCTGAAGTATGTCTGAATGGTGTGTGTGTGTGTGTGTGTGTGTGTGTGTGTGTGTGTGTGTGTGTGTGTGCACTTGGTTGGGTTAAATGCACAGCACAAATTCCGAGCATGGGTCATCATACTTGGCCACACTTCACTTCACTTCACTTCCAAAAGAGAATGTAATATTCCTTTCATTAACATGCCTTTTGGCAATTATGTCGCATATTATCACATTTACAGAGCTCTCATTGCAATCTGAAATGAACTAGATTAGCTGGAGCACCTGCAGAATGATGAGACAATATCCACTCATGTGTACAGAATGCAGATATTTCATGTCCAGGTATTGATATACAGATGCAAATGTGATGTTTGTGCATGATGTGAATCAGACAGGCTCTGGTATTGTCTCTCTCTGCAGGAGGACACAGATCACAACTATTACACATCAAAGACCTATGGCCCTAACGATCCCATGAGCAAAGAATTATGGGTGAACATTGATCAGATGGACAAAGAGAAAGTGAAGATCCATGGAATCCTGTCCAATACACACAGACAAGCAGCGGTAAGTCTTCACACCCATGCAAACGTGGCAATGACCCCACACACACACACACACACACACACACAGACACAAGTGCATGTTCTCAAAAAAGCATAACATCATTTCCTCAGTGTTAGTATGACTCGCTTGCCCTGTTGTTCTCCGGCTGTGTAGATGTGGGAACAAATTGAGTGTATAGAAAAGTACAAAAAGCCCTTGTGTCAAAATGCTCTGTTTTATCATAATGGGAAATGATTTTTGTTCACTGTAGGACATTATCCTCTGTAAACAAAAGAAACCACAATCCAAAGACTGAGCTTTGATACAACATTTAAGTTTAAGCTGATCATTTACGTAAGTAGAGTCAGATTTGCTCCGGCTGACCACACATTTAGTCCCCAGGTGTATATTTACAGTTAACTGCTCTTTTTGATCTCCCTACCACCTTCTCTCTAATATCAGTGTCTCAGCGTGCCACTAGACATAATGTTCCGACCTTGATAATAATGTGTGTTCATTTTTTTTTTTTTTTTTTGTTCACACAGCGGGTCAACCTGTCGTTTGATTTCCCCTTTTATGGACATTTTCTCAGGGAGATCACTGTGGCAACTGGCGGTAAGTGAACCAGATTCTTGAGCTTCTTGCGTGTGTGTGTGTGAATATGAACATGAAATTGGAGTTTATTAACAGAAATCACGTTAATGATCAAAGTAACTTAGTGGGTTTTTTTTAATTGTTGTTGTTGCTGATGTTGCTGGTTTCATATTTAAGGATGACACTAATTGCTTGGTATTGTTATAAAAAGCTGCACTTCCTAGAGAGGCTGGCACTCTTTGTTATTAACCATCAACAACATTCATCTACCTTTCTTATTTATCTAATTTCCAGACATTTTGACTGATGTTGCAGGTACTCGCCTCTCAGCTGTATCATCAAAACTCTCTAACTTTTAGAGACAGAATCCAATGAACTTTTTTCTTATCCAGTGGCTATATTTTGCTTCAAAAGCTCATCATCTCACAGTTGTCCCTTCATTGGGAACTGGTGTACAGAAGTGTGTATATGCAAAAGAACAGAGAGCCAATCCAGCTGCAAGATGCTGAAGCTTGTGGCCCAAAAAAGTGTACAAAATATCAGGTGGTCAGGCTGAAACCTGGCTGCATCATTTTTCAGCCCATTCTGTGTAAATTCTAGAGACTGTTGTGAATAATCCCAGGAGATCAGCAGTTTGAAATACTTGAAATACTCCAGCCAGCCCATCTGGCACCAAAAAAAATGCAATGGTCAAAGTCACCGAAATCACATTTTTTTTCTCCATTCTGATGTTTGCTGGGAATATTGCCTGAAGGGCTTGACCTGTATCTGCGTTATCTTATGCACTGCACTGCTGCCACATGATAGGCTGGTTGGATAATTGCATGAATGAGCAGGGGTACAGGAGTTTCTATGAAAGTAGGGCAGTGGTAGCTCAGTGGTTAAAACACTAGACTACTGCTCAGAAGGTTGTGAGGTCAAGTCCCAGCACTGCTGGGCCCTTGAGCAAGGCCCTTAACTCTGGGAGCAAGACCCTTAACTGCTCAGCTGTATAAAATGAGATAAATATAAGTTGCTCTGGATAAGGGCATCTGCCAAATGCCCTAAAGTTTAAGAAAAGTAAAGTGGTCAATATATTTATGTCACATGTTGTTGTAACGTTGTAAGGTTTGTGACTAAAACAGGAAACGTGCTATAAACCACTATGCTGTGTCTGTCCTATGGCAATTAGCACTGTTTTACTGTGGATGAGAGTCCATGCTGCCTGCCAGGTCTGCATATTATGTGAAAAGTAGCATATGTGTGTAGGAGGTGCAGGGCTATAGGTTATATTGTGCTATGATAGGGTTGGCCTGTTTCTCTGTGATTATGCTTTCAAAAGCTAAGCATGGGCATTGTTTCTAGAGCAGAATTTGTCCCACTTCTGATATGTGTGAAGCAAGAAGAGAATGAAATGCTCTTTCCAAAGATCTGTAATGAATAGCTGTTGAGTTAAATCCAGTATAGTATGCTAATGCCATCATTTTCACACTTTCACTCAGTAGCATAGACACTGTAGACTGCTGTAACCCTGTCAGCTCCAGATCAAGTTTAAAACAAGAAGATCATTTTTAGCCCATACATAAGTTCACCTGCCAAGTAAAGCCACCTTACATAAGTCCTATTGTGCCTCATCTTCTCTGGCAGCTCTGTGAGCTATCTGTCTGTGTTGCCCTCTTCATCTTTGGTTCCCTTCTCTCTTTCTCTCGTCATACTTTTCACGCTGTTTTGAAATAGGCCAACTTTAATCTGCCGTTTTGCCATTTTGCCTACAGGGCGAATCAAATTGCATATGCTAATTTAACTCGGATGGACGAGAGGGCAAATGTACAGATAAAGAAAACAAGTTTATCGTCCTCGGTATGTAGAAAAGATACAGGACACGGAGAGGGAGATGATTTTTCTAACTCACTGATGAAGAAAAAATATAACCAATATGCTAAAGGTATTAAAAACTTCTCCACTGCAGAACTTCCAGCATGAGAAACCTGGTGAGAAATCTGTTTGAAAAGAATTATGAACTAGACTTTTAGATTCAGAAAGTTCTAGGCTGGGCAGCTACCATAATTATGATAACATTTTAATGAGAGTTTAATGAGAGACAGTCAGGGGGATATGATTAACTGCTTTACCTGTGTACTGAATCATGAAGCTTGTGGTACTGTATTGACTTTTTTTGGGATTGCCATCACAAATGAATCTTGTAATTTTTCATAGTCTAATTTTGGAGTCACTTGCTAAGATATTAAGATTTCTGTAAATGCCTTTATGGAGAACATATGGCATGTACCTCAGACAACAGTTACTTACCTTCTGAGTCCTAACTGTTCAACCCCAATGGTTTAACCCCAGTTTGGTTTATTTATTTATTTATATTTTTGGCCAAAGTATTGACTACACCTGGTATTGGTATTGAAGTCAAGGTTTTGTTATCGTGACAACATAGGGCCAATGGTATATGAATATAATAAATAGATTTAAAGTTGGGTTTGTTTTATTTCTACACCATTGAGCCTTACACATGAAGAACAGATTTAGTATTCTGGTGGTTGGAACATCAGGCCTCAGTGGAACACCAAAGCCTCTCAGGAAAACCAAACTAAATAAAAAGACATCCACCAGATAAGCACATGGACAAATTGCGTTAAGATTACAGGTACAGGAAAAATGGAACACTCCAGGGTGCCATTGGAAGCTCTATTTTTCATACAGGAAATGGCTGATGACTATGATGTGAGATGACTACAAAGGGTTGTTTGGATAATTAACTTCAAAAAGTGGATCTACTTGGAACCTGCTCTCATAGGGAAATATTTTAGTGTGGGATTCTGTACAGATTCTAGGTTTAAGGATTCTATTCTTGGTTTTGCTAGAGAGTCCTTTTCATCACTAAACATGGTCACATGGCCCACCATGTTTAATCCCTACTAAATGTTTCAAACAAAACTCTCAAATAACCTTTTAATACATGTGACTTTGTTTACCCTTCAAGATTCTGAAGCTTATGGGCTGTATAAATTGTATAAAGGACATCAGCCGCTCTGTGAGCCATGGGCAGAGGATCTGAGGCTGAGACTGGGGTTGCTGCAGAAGGAGAACCTTTAATGCATTTAACCTTTCTACTGAGCATTCATCTAGCTTGATTTAAATATCTTTATTCTAGATGTTTATTCTAGATCTAGTTAAATATGACAGACAGTTCGGGCATATGTTGAACTGTTTCTACCTGGAAATGATCGCTGTTGAAATGTAACTCTTAAATGAGTAATGTTTGTGTTTCTACCACTTTTGCCTTGCTAGTTGTTGTTATTGTTGCTGCTCGGCGCACATCTTGGGAAAAATATTACTGTCATGTAACGGAGGCGAAGACGGATGCAAGTGCATTTTAAAGATAATGAGAACAAACAAACAATCAAAACAAAGTATAGATACTCGTCACACAAAACAAGAATTATGAACTCGAGGCAGAAATACAAGGACTAAGGAATATAAACAAAAGACAACAACATAGGACAAAAGCAAGACCACTGAAATGCAAGGCACGACTTATATACTAGTGCTCATTAACAGAAATGTGACACAGGTGCAGGCGGTCATGTGACATGCTCCCGCGGGGTGCAGTGGCTGATGGGAAATGTAGTCAGGCGCCGAAGTTGGCGTAACCATGTGCTTTCTCCAAAATCACACCCGCCAGAACCAACATACTGTTTTATTTAAAAAGAGAACAAGAATAAAATTCTGTTGTTTTTTTTTCCTCTGCTTGCTAGGATTTTCTTGTTAGCAATGTTGGTACATCTGTGTAAGTCTCTCAGTTGGGTTTTAGAATTGAAATGTGCTGAAATGATACTGGTGATAAAACGATAGTCTGTGCTTTAATCCCGGTTTGCATTTTTGGAGCTTGTGAAGACTGATATCAGATCTAAAGAGATCTGAATGTGTCTGTGAAATTTATGCTATTCTAAAGAAAATGCTTAGTATGTGTGTTTTAGCCATATGTGTGGGTGGTGCTGATCTGAAATACTGAGATAATGATCCTAAAGTGTAAAAGAAAAAAAGAAAAAAAAAGCAAGCGAGTAAGCTTGTGTCTTCTGGTCCTCCAGGTCGTGATTTAATAAATCGAAGCTAAAAAAAAAATTCACCATTCGAGATACAGGTTTAGAGACACAAAGCGAAAAACAAGTCAAATTCCTCTTTGTAGTTGAGTGACGATTGCTGAAGCTCTGTTGAAAAGCATAATTACAGAAGAAGTCGTGAGAGTAGACTGTTCTTTGAGAAAATGTATCTAATTATGCAAAACCTTGTCATAACAGAGAACGGCGTGTCAGCCATTAAAGCATTGAGGACACCCAGGCTAGCATAAACCCTGAACTGTTTCCTCTGAGAGCGACTACGGCGAGAGCACTCGGGGGGGGGGGAAATGGATGATCTTGAAACTAATAGTACGTGATGTAACATTGGGATGAGTGGATGGAGGAGAGGCATGTGATAACCCTGACTACTTCTTCATAATCTACCATATGGATAGCTCCATCTCAATGACACGTGACCTTCAGTGGAGTAATGATGTTGTTTAGGAATAAGGAGCTTGTCTGATATATTTGAATGGGGCACAAGGTTAAATAATCTGTTTACAGCTGCAGCAGCATTTGTTTTGTTCTGGCAGCAGCTCATTCTTTATTATTTTTTGCACGTGTGTGAATCTCATTACCTCGCCGCTAAAGCTGACCAGTGTCAGGTCTCCATATGTGTACACCTACTTGAACTGGCATATCTGATTTTAACAGTTCCATGAACCCCTGTATTAAGCCATACTATACATTCTTGTATGTGCTCCTACATCTTATAGAAAATCCGGTACTTCGGTACTTGGAAATGTTGGAGAAATCCCAGAAAAGATTAATTGCAGAAAAAATACAAGTGTCCTTTGTTCAGCTGCAGCAGACCAGCTCAAACTAAAGCATAACTGGGTAGGTCAGATAGTGTGTTAGTGTCTGCTCTAACAGGAGTAGAAGTGATGCTATTTTGATTCATAAATGTAACACCATATTCAAATGCACAAACTATTAAAGATAAAACAGTGTGTTGAAAGACACCTTGAATGGTGAAGATTTCTCAGTATGATGATTCTCAGTATTTGCCTCCTGAATGCTCATGTGTTTATAATTTTCCTACACAGCTGAACACACAGCTGTATTATAAGTGGAAATATCTGGAAGACCAGTTTTTACTTGAGACAGACCAAGAGCCCTCCAAATTATATATCCCTATTATTACTTTGATGATACAACATGACTTAAAATAAAACAACACACATGCACAGCCATTCCAAACATGCACACAAACGAAACGTAGTGGATCATGTGGTGACAGCATGTGTTCTGGATCATTCGTTGCCTCCTTAGGGCTCTGGGGTAGACAAGATAACATAATGATCACTAGTTAGGGAAACACGTTATCCTAAATAAGAACCAGACTCAAACAGCACGGCTGGTCAATCACATGTAAGTGGGAGCTTGTGTCTTTCTTACTTTGGGACATTGGATGAGTGACGCTACTGTTTTTAACAAAGCACACAAAATTTCACTACATACATTTCACTACACTTCCAAACATTTAGAGTAACATGACTGTTATTGTTGCACAATCTTAGAGGTGGTCATTTATAATTGTCAAGGTAGCGCCGAAGAGGCACAGAACAGCCCTACCCATCAGACCCTGCATGTCACATGTCTCATTAATCACTCACACCCGTTTCCTGTTTCACCTTGATTAGCACCACTGTTTAAGGTCTAGTTTTTCAGTGTCTCCTCTATCAACTTGTACTGTTGTTTGTTGTTGTGTGTGCTACAGTATCGCTTATAGTCTGTATGTTTTTTTTTTGCCTCGTATCCACCATGTTTACGCTTCTTGTTTTCACAGTTTTGGTAATAAATAATCTGCACTTACATCCGCCTTCA